GTCGGTCGGGGTTGGGGGGTCCTGCTGGGTCTTGACGTAAGAGAGGTCAGGGTGTGGGGTTCTGGGGGGTCCTGAGGTGGGAGAGGTGAGGGTTAGGGGGTCCTGCTGGGTCTTGAGGTAAGAGAGGTCAGGGTGTGGGGTTCTGGGGGGTCCTGAGGTGGGAGAGGTGAGGGTTAGGGGGTCCTGCTGGGTCTTGAGGTAAGAGAGGTCAGGGTGTGGGGTTCTGGGGGGTCCTGAGGTGGGAGAGGTGAGGGTTAGGGGGTCCTGGGGGGGCCTTGAGGTAAGAGAGGTGAGGGTTGGGGGTCCTGAGGGGCCTTGAGGTAAGAGAGGTGAGGGTTGGGGGGTCCTGGGTGGCCTTGGGGTAAGAGAGGTGAGGGTGGGAGGTCCTAAGGTAAGAGAGATGAGGGTGGAGGCTCCTGGTGGGCCCTGAGGTGGGAGAGGTGAGAGGGTGGGGAGTGCTGAGGCTGGAGAGCTGAGAGCAGGGTGCCCTGGAGGGGCTGGGGGTGCTGGCAGCTCCCTAGGCCCGCCTAGAGCGTGGAGTCAGGGGACACACAGTGGACTGGTGGTAGCTGAGGGAGGGGGGAACCAGTGTGGTGAAGCTGTCCTACAAACGCAGCCCTGTTTGGGGAGGTGGGGCAAGAGGCGTGCTTGGAGCCACCCTCCTGTCACAGGCGCAGGAATGGGGGAGGGCTTGGGCCCTGCTTGGCCTGCCCAGGAGCTGCAAGATGCAGGGCTGGTGGGGGCAGTGGGGCAGCCACCTCCAGTGAGGAGAACTGCTGAGGACTCAGCGCAGGTTTTGGGGGGGGGTTTGCTGAGATGTGACATGTCTGGGGGAGTGGGCAAGAGGCAGAGTGAAGGCACAAGCCTCTTAAGGAGCACAGCAGGATACCTTGAGCCTTTCCTCCTTGCTTGTGACCCCTTCTGGCCCTGACTCATAATTTTGTGCTTTCAGAGTGGCAATACAGGGAGGTCAAGGGAAGTTCTAGGTGCTTTGTGCTGTCTTTAGAGGTAGGCCCAGGCTATTTAATATTTCATTTAGAATTCTGCTTGTTTGAAAATTTATTGCTGAAAATTATTTCTTTCACTTGTGTGGACAACTTCTTTTCCCCAGACTTCCACCATATGCCTCTTCTTTTGTCTTCACTGCTTGAAATAACAGGACAATTTATTGGTTTTTAGGAGTTTTGTCCTCTATTTAGAGAGTCTAAACAAAAGCAGTGTTTCCTCCTTAGGTTTGTAGTTCAATTGGTCCATCTGAGCTTTTCCTAAGGGGTGGAAAAAAATAACTCCTGTCTGAATGGTTGCTGTAGGAGCTCTTGAGAACACTTTGAGTATTTTTCTCAGGCTTTAAAGTGACAAAGTGTAAGTGGCTTCATGAGGTATTAGACAAGGTCATAGGCCTCAGCTTGGCATGTTAAAATCAGTGCCTGTATATGATCCACAGGGGCTGGAGAGGGATGTGTGAAGGGGTCTGTTCCTGCTCAGCACAGAGTAAGAGAACAGGTTTTTCCCCTGGCCTTTGGGTGACATCCTGAACTAAATGGTCTTAGAAACTATTTATAGTAGTCTAGGAACTGATTTTATTTATTTTTGTTTTTATTTTTGTTGGCCCCTTTTTTTCCTCCCCAAAAAGCCCTTAGTACAAATGGCCTTAATGTACCTACTAAGAAATATTCTGATGGTAAAAGGAGGGTTGATGTGGCCTGGTATAGGGTGCAAATGTATAGTCTCTTCTGGAAAATAGCACCTTGGTTTTGTTTAAAAACCTTGTGTGCAAAATATTTGGCTCAGACACTTAGTGGAAGAGGTATTGACTGAGGTGCTGTGTGAGAGTTGAGCTTGATGGAAAATCAGGGAAGTGCATCTGGCCTGAGGCTGAAGCCAGAAGCAACTTCAGGAAACTGTGCTGGGAGAGGAGGGCTCAGTCAGCTGAGTTCAGCTGTGCTCTGCAAGGAGGGGAATAGTTGGTGTGGAGGCATCTGTGTCTTGGAGATCAGAAATCATGAGAACACAAGTCTGCAAAGCTTAGTAGTGATACAGTGTGTGGATACAACCCTAAGGCACGGAGTGAACAGAAATCAACCTACTGTGACTGAAATGGATGTGCAAAAGAAAAGGGAATGGCTGGTTTCCACCCTGGAATATGGAAGAAGTTACCATGAAATGATCCATGTCTGATAACAATGTTTTTCATCAAATCTGTTCAGTCAGGGCTAGTAACAGAACACAGAGAACAAGCTGAGCATACAACAGCTTGCACTGAGCAAGGACTGAATTAACTGACCCATTAAAAACTGGATGTTGTTTTCACGTGGTTTGCTCCATGGCAGGTAGTGTGAGACTGGCCTTTTTCATAAACCAGCTCTCTCCAGACAGAAAAGTTGTGTTGTCTCATCTCTTCTGTAAAGGATTTATTACGGAGTCCTGTGGAAAAATCATTTGCTGTGTCAAAGGGATGGAGGTTTATGCAAGTGTTGGTGAATACTGGTGAAAGGGAGAGTGTTTGCACTGCAGTGGAAACTGAGTTGGAGGGAGGAGTCATGACACACACACTGCTGCTCATCCATGACCTTGGCATAAAAAGTAAGAGTATGCAGATGACAGATCTTTGTGATGAAACCAGTCTGGGAGATGTGAGCAGAAAGAAAAAGGAGGGTTATAAATCTATTGCACAAGAGGAGCTCTAAAACTGTACAGAAGTTGTTCTATTGGTAGTCTCAGAGGGCAAGTGTGTGTCTTCACAAAGTAACAGGCAGGATTTCCCTCTTGAACTGGGATTCAGCAGTTTGGAAAAAAAAATTAACGGGTGACTGGGTTGCTGTAAGGGCACAACTAAAGACAAGCATGATTTTAGCTTGAAGAGATGCTTCTAGCACAGTTGGGAAGTGTTGGTGCCATTACACACAGTGTTTTGTAATGCTCTGGAACAAAGAAAGTGTTTTAAAAAAAGAAAGAAGACCTCACCAAAGAGCAGCTTCAGGCAGACCTGAGACATGATCAAGGGAGACATGGTGAGGTGATGTGACATGAGTTAATAATTTTAAGGAATGGCAGTGCAGCCAGAGAATAAGCTCCAGGGTTGAGGAGGAGGGATTAACTGAATCTGAAGGATGATTTGGGCTTTCAAGCCTCTGAGCAACTTTGCATCAGGTGCAGTGAGGATGAGAAACCTGGCTGGGCTAAAGGTAAAGCTTGATGAGCATAAGAAAGGAAGGACTTGGTGCCATTAACTGTTGTTTCAAGGTGTGTGAGGATCCAGGAAGTTCCTTCCATTTCTGTGGTTTCTCTGCTATGTTGCAAAATATTAGAATTGAAGTTGTTCCTTTTTTTCATCTGTCTGGCCTGTAGAATGCAGCATTTTATGAATGAGTTTCTCTGTCAAGGCTTTCACATGGTCATGAAAGAGAAATAAGATAAAATGCCTGAAGTCTAATGCTGCCAATACTAAAGTCTTTGGGCTTCCAGATGATGGCTTTCTAATTTAGATATTGCATCTGATATAGGTGAATCTTATCTGACCCCTTGTGGGAACAGAGAAAGATGAAATTAATAATGAAAGTGATGGCTTATGTCATGACTCAATTTAAATCTTCCTTAACCCAGAGTCAAGTTCAAAGCAGTAGTTTTCTTGTTTTAAGTTGTGATAAAGCTGTAGATAATTGAGTCAGGTTAGTTCAGCCGTGAAACTTCAGTTCTTCCGCTTGATTGGAATTTGTCCTAAGTGTTGCCACTTTCTGGGAACAAGGAGATCCCTGGTATGCCAAGGGTAGTTCCTAGCACCTTGCTTGCCTTCTCCTGTTGTGGTCCTGCTGTGCGTTCCTCATTTGCTGCCTCCTTTCTCCTGCTTTGTCTTTGCAGTATCTCCTGCTTCTGCCTCCCATGTAACATAGAATCATGGAATGGTTTGGGTTGGAAGGGACCCTAAAGATCATCTAGATCCAACCCCCTGCATGGGCAGGGACACCTCCCACTAGCCCAGGTTGCTCCAAGCCCCATCCAGCCTGCCCTTCAACACTGCCAGGGATGAGTGTCTCCATCTGTCTTGTGTGGGCTCTTGCTAGCACCAGATGAATGATGCTTTTTACCTGGCTCTGTGCTCTCCAATTTGGCTCAATCAAAACAAAGTGGAACATGCTTCATATTCCAGCAGAGCACGTTAGGGAATAAAAACAGGTCCTCAGACAGACCTTGGCATTTTGATTCTGCTTTCCCTCATCAGCAAAGACCTTCATTACCTCTCTACCAACAGACCTCAGCCCCAACAGTGCTTCTGCCCTGCAGACAAAAGGCATTTTTTGGTGCCAAGCTCTGGCATCCTGTGCAATGAGGTTTTTGCACCTACAGCCTTCTTATGGCAAGTTGGTATTGAGTGTCCTTGCTACCACCAATGTGGATGCTCTGAAACTGATGTTCAGTAGTTGGCCACCTTTTTTGGTAAGGCTGTGAATGGTCTTTTAGTAGAGGACAGTGGTTTTTAATCATAGAATCAAAACGGTTAAGGTTGGAAGGGACCTCAAAGATCATCAGGATCCAACCTCCCTGCTATGAGTAGGGACACCTCCCACCAGTCCAGGTTGCTCCAAGCCCCATCCAACCTGCCCTTCAACACTGCCAGAGATGGAGCAGCCACAGCTTCTCTGGGCAACCTGGGCCAGGGTCTCACCACTCTCACACTACAGAATTTCTTCCTCATGTCTAACCTAAATCTCTCCTCTTTCAGTTTAAAACTGTCACCTCTTGTCCTATCTCTTCCCTCTGGTGCAAAGTCCCTCCCCAGCTTTCCTGGAGCCCCTTCAGACACTGGAAGGTGCTCTAAGGTCTCTCTGGAGCCTTCTCTTCTCCAGGCTGAACACCCCAACTCTCCCAGCCTATCTCAAAAGCAGAGCTGCTCCAGCCCTCACAGTACCTCTGTGGCCTCCTCTGGACTGCTGGGGGCTCCAGAGCTGTGCACAGTACTCCAGGTGTAGTGTCACCAGGGCAGAGGGGCAGAACCACCTCCCTGGCCCTGTCTGTGCCTTGTAAGCAGACTGCTGTGTGCCTGTGCTCCAACAGCCTCTTGTTAGGGATGCTGCACAGTCTGAATTTCCACTTTCTCACTCAGTCCAGCTGGTCCTAAGGAGCTGGTCCTAATGCAGAGCCAGGGTGTCCTGGCTTGAGCACTGGGAACCCCTGCTTTCTCTGCCCTGGGGTTCTGGGGCTTAGGCCTCTGCCTGGCTGTGCTGAGCCAGCTTTAAAACAGGGCTGACACTTCTGGCAGCAGGTTGGTTCATGTTCAGATCCTGCTGATTTGTGTTGGTACCTTCTCTTGTGTCTGCTTTTTAAAGAGAAGACCTCAGTGTGGGCAACTCCCCTACGCTGAGAAGCGAAGACCCCAAATTCAGCTGTTGCTTCAGCTGTGAAAAAAAGCAGCCTTCATCTCTCCCATCCCAGATTTTGAGCTGAGCCTTGATCCTGCTGCTGAAACCCCTTTTTTCTTTTCCCCACAGGTGCAGTACTGTGGGTTGCTGTTCCGCCACGAGGGCTGGCCCCTCTGTGTCCACGAGAAGATCGTAGTCCAGCTGGCAGCCATTGACTGGCGAATCCTGAAACCTGGGGACTTCTACCTGCAGGTGGTCCCCTATCTCAAGAAATCTCCACGGATTGTAGTGAAATGTTTGGCAAAAGACAAGCATAATGTAGAGGAAGTTGTGATTCCAGAAGTTTCCTATACCTCTATTTTTACTCTGGAATGGTTGAGTACTATCAATGGAGAGCGGATGGGTATAGCACTGGAAAATTGTTTACTAACCACTGATGATAAAATATTTCGTGTCCCCTGGGATCAAGTGGTTAAGCCTGAATTTATAAATAAACCCAAAATAATTGGAAACAATATTATCTCTCCAGAAATAACAGAGCAACCTTCAGTTTTGTGCCTCCCCATGGACCATGCTGAGTGCAGTTCACCAGACCTAGGGTCTCAGTGTCTACAGGAACAAAGTCCAATTGGAGACAACCTGGTCATTAGCAGCACAGCTCCACAGTTGGGTGAAGCTCTTGTTAATGGTGTCTGTACAAGTCCTGTGGCTCAAGAAGACTTGAAAAGTGACCTTGAAGGGGAGTACGTTGAGCTGACAGAAGTTTCACTGCCCAGGTTTGGGCCACAAACAGGCTCTTTAACCCAATCTCTAGCTTTAAGTTATCTGACTCTGCCCAGAACCCGAGTGAATGCAGCTAAAGGCAAGCACAGATTCATTGTCATGCAGGACAGCACCTACTCCAAGAACTTGGTTCAGTCAGCACTGATGCAGAAGGAGCACTGTCAAATGGACATTCTGAGGGCTTCTTCTGTTGAAGTTCTCAAAAATGCAACTCTGTTGGAAAACAACAAGATGATGGCACCTGGAGAGCTGTCTCCAGAAGGTCAGCTGCCATCACATGATCCTGGAAACATGGGGAATAGTTTTCCTGTGACTGAGTCTCCTGCCTGTAGTGCAGAAGATGGGTCTTTGGAGCAGGAGACCAGCAGTGAACACTCCCTTGACTGGCGATATGCACTGTGCAGCTACAGCGAACTGGGTGCTGGGGATGGTGTCAGCTGCAAAGCACACATGCCTGGTGCTCCTAGAAATGTGGAAGGAGGAGGTGATGATCCTAGTGGAAATCCTGGCATTGAAACATCAGAGCAGAGCTCGGAAACAGTTCTAGATGCTGCTGCAGCTCCTGCTAATGAGGAGGTGATACTGAGAGAGCATGGAGAACCACTGATTGAGGGTCAAAATGAGGTGACACAAATGGATCCTTCTCCTGTGGTTGTCCTGGGACCTTCAGGACCACATTGCACACCGAAGGAAGGTCCTGATGTTTCTTGCCAGAGTGTCAGTGAAAATGTTGCACCAGTCCAGGCCACTACATTGGTTATCAAGCCTGAGAGTCCAGATGCAGGTGTCGAGAGAGACTCTCCTCCTTCAGGGAACGTGATGGATGTAGGAGCTGATGATGGTTCTTGCTACAGTGATCAGGAAGCAAATCTTAGCTCTCCATTAAATCCTCCAGAGCAGAACCAAGGAGAGGTAGATAAATTTGAGCTGGGAGGAAGGGACAACCCTGAGGAAGTCAAAGAGGTTGAACAAATATTGACTGTAAATGAGAATCAGACTAGTCATAGTCACTGTTCTGTCAAGGCTCCTAAAGATGGACTCATGTCAGATGGTGAAGAGCAAGAGGTCTCTGCCTGTCAGCATGAGAAAGCTGAAGAAAGCAAGCTGCTCCAAACTGCTCTGTCAGCAGGGGGTGAGCAGACAGCAGAACAAGTCAGAGACTCTTTGAGCCCTGGTGCACCAGCAGCAGGCTCAAGTCAATTTACGCCTGGAGAGAGGTGTGAGGAGCCGCAAAGACAGACAGAAAACCAGGACCAGGAAACTGAAGAGAACTCTGTGCTGAACCCAGAGCCTGTTGCAGCACAGGACTTGGAGGGCAGGAAGGAGAACCAGGGAAGCTTTTCTTATGGGGAAAGGTCAAAGCTTACAGCCTTAAAAACACTGGAATCCATTGAAGAGGAACTGGAGGTTGGACCACTGTCCTCAGGACCTGCTGAGGAGCATACAGAGCCCACCACTCTGCACTGCCACCAAGAAGCAGCTTCTGGGGCATCATCATCTAAAGGTACAGCAACTAGATGTTTGTGTGTTTATGTTTGTGATGCAAAGCAAAGTCCTCAAGAGGCACTACTGACAAATACATCTGCTGGGAGCCTTTGGGGTAACAGCACAAACTGCAGGAAAGTGATTTAAGTTGTCATTTTTGTGGCTTGAAGTTAGCTTTCTTTTCACAGGTGGATTGATTACAGATGTTTTGTTTAACAGTTCTTTGCAAATTTACATCAGTAGAGAACAAAGTTCCAGTGTAAGAGACTTTTTAATTTGTGTTAATCTGATTGTTGGTGACCTCCATCCCTTGCAGTAACTGTATGCACATCATGGATGCACCATGGGAATGAGTGAGAAGGGAATGTCTTCTCTGACTCTTTTCATAGCAGGGAATTGGCTTGAGGAAAGTAATTGTGGCGAGAGGAAGCAGCAGAGGATGGCACAGTAAAATCCCAGCTGTGTAACACGACCTGAAAAGCAACAAATGTGTGTGTTGGCAACTGATTTAAGAAGCAAGCTGCCAAGTTGAGGGATTCCCCCTCCCCTCTCTCCTCCCAGCCCCTCCGGCGTGCTTTCTTCAGTTCAGTTCTGTTTCAAGTAGAGGCTGTTTAACTTCAGTGGGAGAGCAGAAAGGAAATGAAGCCTCTAACTTCAACTGAAACCACCCATTCCAGCAGGCATTGCCCAGACTTCTTGTGTCCTATGCTGGAGCTGTGCTCCCTCAGAAGGAACTGAAGGGGCAGTCTGGGTCTCTGCCTTTTGCAGCAGACAGCAGGCAGGCATGGTGTCATCCCATGGACATGATGTTGGCTTTGTTGAGCTCTGCTGAGTCTGGAAAGCTGCAGCTAGATATGCAGATCACATCCAGGAGCGTGTGCGTGTGGCGGGGGCGGGTGGAACGTGCCATTCCAGTTCAGCAGCTCTCATTCCCTGGGACCCCTGGCTAGGAAAATTACCCAGCTTGAAAAGTTAGAATGAGGACTCTTGGAAAAGGTTGGTGGTGCAGAGCACACTGCTGAAACATGCCTAACCCTGTGGAGCAACAGATCAAGAGCTGGTCATCTCAGGCCAGGCTGCCAGTGTCATGCTTGCACTGCTCTGAAGTGCGTGGATGAGATCCTGTGTCCCTGCTGCAGCACTGCTCTGCCTGGCTGCAAGCACAGCTGCACTCTCCAGTGTCCAGAAGTCACATCTTATCAGATGCCTTAGTGTGACTGCCTAATGGAGCTAAAGTGTCCATTGATTAAAATGGCATTTCATTAACATATTTTGGTTCCATAATTAGGCAGGCCCACGGTTGCCAGGCATTTCTGATCCTTATGGAGTGACAGCAATTTCTCTGCTGTGAAATGAAGGGCTCAGCTCAAAAGTTCCTGTTTCTGAAGTGTGTCTCTGAGCATGTGCCACCATGAGCAGAGGAAAAGAAGTCACCTTCTGGCTATCCACAACCCTTGGGGGTGGTGGTGACCATGCTGTGTGTGTCCATTCCCCTAGCCGAGCTGAGCCTGGCTTGACTTTCTGTTCACCTCAGGACCTCAGAAAACCGAGGCTGTGTTCAACTCTGGGTGTTCCTTGCCTCATGACTCTGGTGGCTGCTTTTTCTGTGTTCCCATCTTTTCTGTCTAAAATTAGCCAGGTCCAGCTCCTGTGTGAGGTGATACGTGTGGTGTTCTCACTGCTCCACAGGACGAGCCTTGGCTGTTGCTGTGGATTTCAGGGATGATGAACCCCTCTGGGGTATGTGTGGAGTTTGTTTTTTATGAAAAGACAAATGTTTCTGGGGATTTGGCTGAAATAAGCAACATCTTCATGGCCCAATTTGGATGATGTGAAACTTTGGCATTGCAGTTAACAAGTTTATTTTGGGTGAATTTTTTTTCACAGAGTTTGTAAAGCAAAAGAACCTAAATCACCAGAAACCCCCCCCCCCGATAGCAACAGACT